TGATAAAAGTCATAAACATTTATGTATTAATAAAAAGCTTAAGTCGTATGATTTCCAATTACATAAACGATCAGCCGACTGAAATCCGGAACTTTATCACCTACTACTAATTCTGATCAGTTATTCAGTCACAGATACTATAAAAACAAGCTTTCTTCCCAAACATCAGCGCAGCTAGAGTGAATGTTGACAAGATGAGAAATACAGAAGGGGAAGAAAAATGATATTCAATGAGATACTGTTTAAAAAGAATGAGAGGAGGAAAGTTGGGAATTACAGTACGGTAGATAGAGAGTGACCGCAACTGCACTTCTGTAACCGATTATGAAACATATCATACAGTTTCCAATCACTGATTATAGGTAAACTATGGTATTCGAACAGAAAGCCTGCAACAACTGAAGTGTTTCGATTTAATTGTCAATCACATGATGGAATGATGCCACGTCATGGTTTGGTCACCCGAAACTATCTAATCAGCTCCAACATTATCCGATGTAACCAGGAGTCGTAGTTTGTTGTAAAACATGGGTAAATCGTATCCAACCAGTGAAAGCATATGGAGGAATATATAAATACCAGTTAAATGAAAGACGTAGGAATGAAGAGAACTTCAAATCACCACTTGATAACTGCTAAGTTCACGCTGAAAACGCATTAAAAATCGAACAAGTAACACTATAAAGTAAATACAACATACGTTCGAGATGCTTAAAACTCCAGTGAATTCATGATCGCTCCTAGCAACAAGTTTCAAGTCTTACAAAACCTATTAGAAGACGAAACGATTTTGAAAAACAAATGGAAACGGACTAAAAATATTCAACAGCCCAGGAAGTGCAGGGCCACAAGAAGAATTAGCAGAAAGAATGGATCTTTATAGATACCTCCGAAAAGAATAGAGAAAGAGAAAACAAAAAAAACAGAAACATCATATACACAGTTCCTTTTGTCATTTACAAAAGAGCAAGAACAAAGATTCTAACAAAATAGCATGAACCCATTTCCTTTCGTTGATTATCATCAGCCGCTTACAAACTATGATATTGAAAACATAATTACGAAATCAGGATTCCCCTATCCACACTGTCAAATGCTTTCTAAGAGTCAATGAAGTTGATATATAGTTGACGAGTTCCATTCACTTGATGGTTCAACAATGATGTGTATTATCGCCATTCGGTCTGTGCACCACCGATCCTTACGGAATCCAACCTGTTGATTTCGAAGTTCGGTGTCTACTGAATCTTTAACCTGGTTCAGAAACACTCTGCTGAGAACGTTTCCCGATACTGATAGTAGTGTTCCCTCGGTAGTCCTCACACTTGCTCAGATCTCCTTTCTTCGGTATCATGAAGAGGTATCCTTCTTTCCAGTCTGTCGGCACTTGTTATTCCTCTCAAATTTTCCTGGATGGAACGTGAAGTATACATGCAGTTGCTTCAATACCTGACTTCAGTCCTTCAGCTGGTATATTTTCAGGTCCTGCTGCTTTCCCACTCTTGATTTGTCTGATGACCGGTCATCCTGGTTTATTCGATCGTTGATGGAGTGACGACTATGGGAATGTATGGATTCAATGGAGCTGGCCAATTCCAGAGTTTCTCAACGTGTTCTACCCATCTGTTCCTCTGTTCTTGAATCGCAGTGATTGTCTTGCCTTCTTTGTCATTGACTGGTCGCCCTGGTTTACTATATTTCCCTGCTAGTTTCTTCGTTGTGTTATATAGCTCTTCCATATTTCATTCTGTTGCACCTTTTTCCGATGTCGTCACTAGTTCTTCCACGTATTTCCACTTGCCAGTTTTAATGCTCCCCTCCATTAGCTTGTTTGCTTCAGTGTGTTCAATCTGTTCCTTGACTTTCTCTTCTCATGTTCGTCTGTTGTTTATTGCTCTCTTCTTGTTCTTCCTATCTTGAATCATGTTCAGGGTTTCGATAAAGATCCATTCAATATAAGGATGCTACTTGAGGGGAAGAGCCTCCTAACACATTGAAGCTAGTGCTTATTTGATACCTTCCCAGTTGTTCTCTATAATAGTTTCTTCTTCCTTCAGTAGATCCCGTAAGGTTTGGAACCTGTTGTTGGGAGTTATCATGAATTCGTTAAGTTTGTCAGGATCTCGAAGGAAGGCTGTATTAAGCCTTTGTACTTCTGTTTCTCCAGTTGTCTAGTACTTCTTCGGCTTCAGTTTCATTTTGGCCACATCCATGTGGTGATCTGAAGCTATGTCAGCTCCGCCCTTAGTTCTCACATCTTCCATTGACCTTTAAAAATTTTTAGTGATACAAATATGATCGACATGGTCCTCCGTTGTGTGATCCAGTGAAAGACATGCAGCTTTATGCATGCGTTTGTGTGGGAATGTTGTGCCGCCTATAATCATTTTGTTGAATGCACATAGATTTGCAAATCTCCCATCGCTTTCGTTTTTTTCTCCCAGTTCATGTCGTCTCATGATATCTTCATAACCGTAGTTGTCCATTCCAACTTTGGCGTTTAGATCTCCCATTAGCATTGTCAGGTCCTTTCCTGGGCACTTCGCTATGATTGACTGCAGCCTCTCGTAAAACCGATCTTTATCGTTGTCATTTCCGTAATTGGTGGGTGCATAACTTTGGATAACATTCATTGTGATTATCTTCTCTGTTTTAAAGGATGCTTTGATGATCCTGAATCCATGAGATTCCCATTCTACGAGCCCATTTCTTGCTTCTTTGGACATTAGAGCAACTCCCTGAGTGTGTGCAGTATTTCCTTCCTCGTGACCAGAGTAAAGTAGCAGCTCTCCTGAATCAGTCCAATGGGTTTTGCTGATTCAGAGTACTGCTAAGTTGTATCTCCTCATTTTCGTAACTATTTGACTGGTCTTCCTGGTCTCCCACATTGTTCGGATATTCCATGTACCTATATTAATGGTTTCTCTGGATATTAGAAGGGTCATCGGCCTCGTGACTTCCGAAGAATCCGAGCTTTCATCATGAGGTGTCATAATTCTTCCTTCAACCTGGAGGGGAGAGTTTAGATTATTTAATCTGGTTAGCGCTTTTTAACAACGTTGTTTTCTACGGGATGAGGTTGCCGACCCCATGTCCAACCCTCCTCCTTCACCTGGTCTTGGGACATGCAGCAACTCTAGAAGAGCTACAGACGGAATTGTATAGAGAACATATCAGTATTTGCATAGTCACTTTATTAATTGAGTCAATATTTCAGTCCTATTCCTTTTTAATAGGGTAGTGTAAGCAAATATTTAAGAATTAGTACTCAATGAGCAAATTTCGGTTGTTTATACTAAGATCGGTACCTCGTTATTTTGTTTGTTTCTGAAGGCAGTCAGATGTTCTTTAAATAAAATATTCGACTTTGGTTTCGATGAAACGAAATATTGGTTGGTAATCTCAACCAACTTTGATTCTCCACATTCATTGCATGCAAATCTCTTAACTGCTGAACAAATTTTTGAATCGAGTGTTAGTTATATCCATAACTAATCAATCAGATCGTTGCTTAAGCTCCAAACACGTCAACATGTTCAATAACCCAATCAAAGTTTAACAAGCACTCCTTTCATGCTTTCGCCACTTTTGTTTATAAATTTGCGTGCACCTGCCAAAGCAGATACATTGGCCGAACAGAAAGAAGTGCATGTCTTAGATTTTTTAGCATGTTCCAACAGCAATGGTAGATAGTAATCCTGAAAGTTTGCTTATCCTTTCATTCAATCAGTCGTACATTTGCAACCCACACAAATTTTTATTTGCTGTAGAACCACTGGTAAAAGTCGCTGGGACGCTGGTATAGTTTTTTGCTCTAATACGGACTCAATTTCGGAATGCATGTTATCTGGGTCGGAACCGCCATTGTATGGGAATCTTACATACTCCAAACTCTCAAGGCGAAAATGACTTCATCATTGTGTTAATTCGTAAAGTCACTAAGAAATCACAAATTCCGTTTGTCTTTACTTTTTCCTACTATAATTGCTCTAAGTCTAAATACATTTTTTAACAAACTGTATGATAACTTGCATTTTAAGGTCATGTAAAATTCTTTGGACCAGTAATACTTTCATTCCTATTACTTTTCCAGATATCAAGTGCTCTCTTATAAAAAGCAGTATTATTTTCAATCCGATAAGTAATCAATATGTCATTTCTGTAACCATATTAGTGTGCTACATATGTCAACAGATATAAGTAGCATATAACACCAATCGCAAGTGGAATGCCTGGCAGCAGAAGGATCAGAAGATCGAATAGAAATGAACACGAACAGAGAGTGATTGGTATGGAAATGAAGGAACAACAATTCTGAGACAATTGATGGACATTTTGCAAATAAAGTATTGAACATATGGTATTCAGATTTTACCAAATAACTGTAATTTTGTGTTCAAATACATTTGATCGATCCCAACTGTTTTCGTTTATTACAATAGTACCTGACATGTACAAAAGATAACATAAGCATTAAATTACATGTTAGATCAATTGTGCATAAGAACTCAAAGGTGAACAGTTAAATAAAGCGATTATATTGAACGTTTTAACAGTAAACATGTTTCTGTAATTAATAATTAAGTCACATTTATAGCTAAAGCATACAACATTAGCCAACTGATGAGACCAAAGTACATCAGTACAATTAGGTATTAAGAAGTAAGGATCCGGAAAAAGTACGTCAAAATTGAGAATCCAAAATAATTTTATGATATAACAAGCAATAAAACATTTTTTACGTTGGTAAACTAATTTAAAGTTTCAAGAAAATGTGACCCATAAAAATTCAAAGAATTACATTCGGAAAAAATCAAATGTCCCTTTTAAGGTAACAATGAGTACATGTCTTAAACAAACAATAACAATATAAATGATCACAGATGATAGCTTAAACTGAGATTATATTACATTTCCGGTTGAACCAAAAGACGTAAAAACCAATTATGGATTGAGAAAAATGCTGGAATGTATAATACTTGAAAAATTACGAATTACTATCATATGCCATCAGCATCATCATTGTTGGTAGCAAACTGATTTTCATTATTTGACCGAGTGAGAAGGCAGCCACTCCGAATAGAATTGCTTATGTGACCATCAGCATAAGAACTACGAACCCCATGATCTGATCGATCTGCATGGCTTTGAAAAGTAGAACTCACAGACATAGGAGCAATATTTTTGTCGACAGAATAAGCAGTAGGATTACAAGATGGTACTGGGTTCACGTGACCTGTGCTTAGCTCTAGGAGTTGTAATTGACGCAAATTGCCTGATTCTATCAACCATTGTCGAAATCTCTGATCCACAACCGTGCTAAAACTATGACGTTGATCAAGAGTTAACCTTGCATTCTGCAAATGAAAAGATCGAGACTTATAGCTATCCGCCACTTTATTTGTAAAAGCGAATACACAACACAAATTAAGTATTATCAGAATGGGTTTTGTGGAGATTTTTAGAAATTTCACAAGTTGAAACCATGAGTCAATTGAAGCTAGACCACCATGAAAAACCCGGAAGCACCGGACGGCCGTTTTGTCCTGGTATGGGACTCCTCAGCAGTGCGTATCCACGACCCCGAACCTTGCAAGACTCGAACCCAGGACCTACGGTTTCGCGCGCGAACACTTAACCATTGGACCACCGAGCCGGCATCCAACGGTGTTAATGTCTAACTTCAACCAATCCACGAATCCACAAATTAAGTACAAAGAACAAAAACAGAACTATTAATATTTTTAAAAGTTCATGCTTTCTCTCTACTGATATTTCAGGGAAATTAAAACCATTATAAATGACAATAATTATCATACCAGTTGAGCGAGTTTTGGGATAACACGATTCAGCTACCTAGTAAATAAAATATTGCATTCTGAAGTGATAAGTACTCAGTTCGGATTGTTATTATAAATGTTAATAATGTAAAGCATGTCCTGGATTCAGCTGATAATCCATACTCAAAGTATAATAGAAATGATGCACTTTAATAGACCGGAAAACGACGGAAGAAATTAGAATGGCCGTCAGACAAATCAAGAACGGGAAAGCAGCAGGACCCGACAACATACCAGCTGAAGCACTGAAATCAGACGTCGAAGTAACCACAAGCATGCTTTACCCTCTATTCAAAGAGATTTGGGAGAAGGAACAAGTGCCGATGGACTGGAGAGAAGGACACCTCGTCAAGATTCCAAAGAAAGGAGATCTGAGCAAATGTGAAAAGTACAGAGGCATTACACTACTGTCAATACCAGGGAAAGTCTTCAACAGAGTGTTGCTGAGCCGGATGAAGGATGCAGTAGACGCCCAACTTCGAGATCAACAAGCTGGATTCCGTAAGGATCGGTCGTGCACAGACCAAATTGCAACACTACGGATCATCACAATTGATTGATCACTGGGTGGTGATCAATCTCATGCTTGTCTAGTCCTTATTAGTGCAGATCGAATGCTATCGATCATGTTGCAATGTGGCCACCAGTCTAGGTGACTCGACACTGCGGGCACTATGTATTGAGATTAGATGGTGGTTGGACGTAGTCAACAGGAAACCCTGCTACTTGGCACTCGTCAGCAAGGTGTACATGTAATCTTGGGTTTCCTGTTGACTACCTCCAACCACCATCTAATCTCAACTACGGATCATCGTCGAACAATCAGTTGAGTGGAACTCATCACTATACATCAACTTCATTGATTATGAAAAGGCATTAGACAGTGTAGATAGGAGGACATTATGGAAACTTCTTCGACACTACGGAGTTTCTGAGAAGATTGTCAACATTATCCGGAACTCATACGACGGACTACAGTGCAAAGTAGTGCATGGAGGACAGCTGACAGATGCATTCCAAGTAAGGACTGGAGTCAGACAAGGCTGTTTACTCTCTTCCTTCCTCTTTCTTCTGGTGGTCGACTGGATTATGAAGACCTCGACATCTGAAGGAAAACACGGAATACAATGGACAACTCAGAATCAATTAGACGATTTGGACTTCGCAGACGACCTAGCCCTCCTATCACGTACACACGAACAGATGCAGATGAAGACAGCCAGTGTAGCAGCAGTCTCTGCATCAGTAGGCCTCAGCATACACAAAGGGAAAACCAAGGTCCTCAAATTCAAAGCGGAAAACAGCAATCCAATCACTGTTGATGGCGAAACTCTGGAAGATGTAGAGTCCTTCACATACCTAGGAAGCACCATCGATGAACAAGGAGGTTCAGATGCAGACGTAAAGGCGAGGATCGGCAAAGCAAGGGTCGCATTCCTACAATTGAAGAACATATGGAACTCAAAACAACTTTCAACCAATATCAAAGTGAGAATCTTCAATACGAACGTCAAGGCAGTTCTACTGTACGGAGCTGAAACTTGGAGAACTACAACAACCACAATCAAGAAAGTACAAGTATTTATAAATAGCTGCCTACGCAAGATACTCAACATCCACTGACCGGATACCATCAGCAATAGCCTTCTGTGGGAGAGAACAAACCAACTTCCAGCTGAAGAAGAAATTAGGAAAAGACGATGGAAATGGATAGGACATACATTACGCAAATCGTCAAACTGCATCACGAGGCAAGCCCTAACTTGGAACCCTGAAGGGAAGCGAAAAAGAGGAAGGTCAAAGAACACATTGCGTCGGATAATAGAAGCAGATATGAAAACGATGAATTACAACTGGACGGAGCTAGAAAGGATTGCCCAGGACAGGGTTGGATGGAGAATGCTGGTGAGCGGCCTATGCTCATTCACGAGGAGTAACAGGCGTAAGTAAGTAAGTAATAGACCGGAAACATATCCAGTAGAAACAAACCACGATATGATAACAAACTCATGTGCCACTATAATATAAATTGAGCCATGAGATAAGAAGCGTAATACAGCAGGCTTTCAAATGGAATTATCCAGTGGCGAAATAATAATAAAGAACCCCTTTCATTCACTATAACAAATACTTTATGTTACAGATGTCTACTCACTGTATTTGTTTGGTTATGTTGTGAACCAAATTTTAGAGATGATTTTCCTGTAGACAAATAATGAAACGATCTAAGAGCACACCCATTCGTACAATAACAACAATGTGATGTATTTATTAAACTGTATTGGTTCTTCGAATCTTTCCATTGATGTTTAGGACTGTAATTCATCAGTCATTTTTGTCATCTGTGCATCGTCTGTAGATGGCCTGGATATTCCCATTAAGTCACAAACATTATCAGCAGGGGTAGACGGTGGCTAGCAGTAGAACCCAAGAGGCGCGTTTTATTCTGATCAATTGCAGTCCTGAACATTGATGGGAAAATTCAAACGACCAATACAAAAAATTAAGCTTCACTCCATTTTACAAGCCAATAGCTACATGGACTTAGCAACCGAGTGGGTAATGCGATGGCCTTTGAAGAGAATGATACTGGGTTCGAGTCCAGCATTGACCGTCAACTCTCAGGTGCAGATACACTAAGCTAACACGTCTCAAATGGGACGAAACGCCCGGCCTTGATCCTATGGTTACCCACTATTCATCTCGGCTTATAATGTAATGGATTGTTGAGTATACAGTCTTATAGTGGAATTCACAATCACCATAGATTTGAATAGTCCTTTGGAAAATCGGGAATCGAACAAATCTTCAAAACAAAAATAGAGTGGTAGGTCGTAAAACAAATCCAAATAAATTCACAAAACAGAAGTTTACTTGTTACCAAAAATGCTAAATTGCATTAATAGGAACGTTTTTATGAAACTAACCATAACATGTTGAGGCCACTTATGATAAGCTCCAGCCCTTTCATGTAAAGCACTTAAATAAGCGGGAGGCAATGGAATTGGTAAAATGTTATTAGCCATGGAAATATAGTTCTCTAAATGTCTTTCATCTGAATCGCCAAAGTATCTGGAGGTATTCGTTATAAGTGATGCGCTCAAATCCAGACAGTTAGCCGTTTGAGGATTACCATTAGGAACAGCTTCTTCAGAACGAGTATAATTTTCACCGATCGGGTTGCGGTCCATACTTTCACCTCGAGTAGAGAGCAAAAGTGGAATATTAAACGGATAAAAATGGGCGGGTTGGAGTAAGTCCCAGCAACGAACTCTGGATGATTGTTGAAATGAGTCTTGACGACTGGAATCTTGTCCTGAAATAAACCATTGTCGATAAATAGTCATATAAAAAAGGACAGATAAATGGTTAAAAGTAATAAGTCCAAATACTTATCACTAGAGTTTGGGGTAAATGGTCACTTAACCCCATAAGTGAAACACACTATAATTATCATAATTAACTAAACCATAAAATGCGATTCAGCTTCCTAATTTAAAAAAAATCCATAAATGGTGTTTGAAAAGCAAACTAATTTTCTCCAATACAACTTTATAAATAGCATAAAGAGTTAAAATCGAAATGCAAGAATCTTAAACTCAATATCCCAGTCCTCGCACAATAACTTATTCATTTATATCTGCTGTCCCTCAAAGGGGTTAATATCTCAAGGTTATTTAGTACCATATTTTATTTACACCGTATTATGTTATTCTATTCTTCTGTTCTGGTTATCACTCCTTTTTTAATATTTCAGTATGAATCTACCGGAACAGGAATACATAAATCAAACTTGTAAATACGACGAGTATAACGGATCAGTAGAACTCAGTCAGTCAGTAACAACGTAGAACTTCGTACGTACGTACATCAGTTCGAGTTGCCACACCACATTAGCACAGAGATGCAGTGGTCGATTCAAATCCCGTAGTGGTAGAGGTAATAGAAGTATAAGCAGTAATCGGGAAGATTAGGATGTGATGTTATTTAAAGAGTATAATCCAGTGAAATAAATTTGGAAAGAGGAAAAAAGGGACATGAAGAATTCAGAAGATTAGAATTTGGGAGAACACAAAGAGTGGATGCACCTGCGCCATTGCAAACGATTTTGAGCCATGTCATTCAGGGTCTCTAACCATCGGTTGCTATCATCTCGCGGTCCCCAACCAGGTAGTCTACACCTACCAACATGACTCAGTTCACTTGTCAGTGACTTCATGGACTTGTGCCATGTTTTGGTTTGGCCGCCCCTAGCTTTCTTCCAACCTACTCCTATACCACTGAACATAGCACGTCGAGGCAGTCGGTCGTTGGGCATACGTAACACGTGTCCCAGCCATCTCAACTGATGAAGTTTCACTACGTCATCAATTGATTTGCCATCCTTACCTAGTACCCGTTTCCTAACAACTGTTACTTACTCGATGGTCCCATGATATACGAGCAATGTTTCGAAGACACCTATGATCAAATACTAGTAACCTACGAATATCCTCTACTCTTACCGGCCATGTTTCACTGCCATAAAGTAGGACGGAACGAACTGCTGCGCAGTAAACACGTCCTTTGGTTGATAGACGGATATCTCGCCTACGCCATAAATGACGCAAGTTGGCAAAAGCTAGTCGAGCCTTCTGTATCCGTGCTGAGATTTCGTCACACACCAACCACAAGGGCTGATGAGACTTCCAAGATAAGTGAAGCGGTCGACACACTCAACTACTTCACTCCCTATCACTAGTTCGGGTGTCGATGTAACCCAATCCTGAAGCAACATTTTGCATTTCGAGGGAGAAAATCGCATCCCGAACATGCTTGCATTGTTGCTTAGAGTGGTCAGAAGACTCTGCATTTTGTCAGCGTCTTCACCAAATAAAACTATGTCATCAGCATATTCTAAGTCAACAAGTGAACCTCCCGGTAGAAGTTCAACCCCTGGAAATTTAGATGAGGAGAGTGTTATCTCTAAAAGTACGTCGACCACAAAGTTGAACAAGAATGGGGAGAGTGGACAGCCCTGACGAACACCACTTGAGGTAATCAATTCTGATGACAGTTCGCCATAAGCTCTCACTCTACCAGTTGTGTTCGAGTAGAGAGCCTTTATAAGGTTAATGTACTTCTTTGGTACTCCTTTCAGTGACAAACACTGCCATAGAACCTCACGATCAACAGAGTCGAATGCCGCCTTAAGGTCGAGAAATACTACCATTGTGGGGCGTCTGAATGTGTGTCTGTGTTCTAGAACCTGACGTAGTGTGAATATCTGATCTATACAACCACGTCCAGGTCGAAAACCAGCCTGGTTTTCTCTAGTCTGCTCTTCACGAGCTTTGTTAGGCGTCGAAGTATTATTGAAGCTAATATTTTAGACACTATATTAGTCAAACTGATTCCTCTGTGATTGTCACAAGAGGACTTTTGTCCTTTCTTATAGACTGGCACAATCAGTGATTGAGACCAGTCAGATGGGATTACGTCCAGTTCCCAAATTCTACCTAAGACCTCAGTTAATCTCATTGCTAATACTGGACCACCATCCTTAAAAATCTCAGGAGTAAACCTGTCAGGGCCTGCTGCTCTCCCTCGTTTCAGATTTCCTATGGCTTTTTCAACTTCGTAAAGGGACGGAGGACCTACATTAACTTGCCATTCAGGTTGACTGGAGATCGTGGGAAACCGAAGTGTGGCTGAAGGCCAGTTGAACTGATCCCTAAAGTGTTCTGCCCATCGATCCAATCTCCTGGATTGAGAATGAATAATATGTCCATCTTTCTCTGAGATTGTTTCGCTAACAGTCGGTTTCCTTAACGAGTCTGAACAATTGTCTGCTATTACCTATTGCCGCTGCCTTTTCCATCTCTCTTGCTTTCGCTACCCACCACTGTTCGCGATCATTGCGTAGACTTCTTGTCAGCTTGCGCTTAAGCTGACTCCGCTCTTCATTATGTTCAGAGCCAGGTGGAATGAGTTTCCGAGCATCTATCAGTGCGATAGATGCTGCTGAGATCCAGTGTTGCTCCCTAACCTTCCGGTTTACCTTACTAGCAGATATCACTGCTGTTTCCACAGCTTTTCGGATATCATTCCATGCTGCATCGGGGTGGGCATCACATACATGGCTGCCTAACTGTTTTCCTAGTTGTTCCTGAAATATACTCTTAGCTTGACTATCATTAAGTAGGCCCTAAGAGGTTTCCTTGCAGCGTCTTTCCTACGTCCAGTAAGACGCAAGCAAATACGCGCTCGCACTAGAGCATGATCTGAATCTAGGCATGTGCTCCAGAATGAGCGACAGTCTTCTATCGAGCCCCTCCATCGGTGGCTGATAGCGATGTGATCTATTTGGGTCCAACGTTGGGACGAATTAGGGGGTCGCCATGTTAAAAGATGTTTTTCCTTATGCTTAAAGTTAGTATTTGCAAGGAACAGGCGGTTATCTGAGCATAGCTGCAACAGACGGTCGCCATTATCTGTTCTTTGAGCCACGACACCATAAGATCCACCTAGGTGTCTTTCCCTATCGCTTAGTTTACCTACTTGAGCATTAAAGTCACCGGCCACTATTACTACATCCGAGCGCCTAGCTTTTCGGAGAAGGTCCGAAAGCTTTCTGTAAAACTCATCTTTTACATCATCTGAGCTGCAGTCAGTGGGAGAATAGGCAGAGACGACGAGTGTCCCTATCTTTCCGGATTCTTACTGTTCCGTTCAGTCGGACAGCGCACAAACGACTGTCTACTGGGATCCACTCTAAGAGAGCTAGTTCTGCCCTAGGACTCAATGCTATACCTACGCCGGCGAGGCCACGGGAAGCAGAATCAGGGCTTCCAGATACACGAAGCGTAAATCGAGTCGGTTCTTTATTTTGGCATGGTGAGGTCAAATGAATGACGCTACTCGGATCCTGTATGCGCGTTTCGGAGACGCAGCACACATCGATGGCGCGAGATTCTAAAGTCCTAGCTAAGGAAGCCTGTTGTCCTATTTGGCAAAGTGTTCGTACGTTAAAAGCTCCTACGTGTAGTTTAGAGCGTGGTTTCAGGAGACCAGGAATAACGTTTCGCGTACTCGAATCGTTTGCCCTAGCGGTGCGAGGTGATAAAGAGATGTGAGGAGGGTTAGTCATGGAGATAAGAGAGGTATTAGGAGGTGTAGGAAGGATTTGAATGTGACCACCTTGGTCTCTTGTGCTGTTACGGGTATGAGGGCTGATGTCACTTCCCGGCTGCCCACACCGTGGAAGGGTATTTCTTGAGGAACCTGAAAAGGAAATTGGATTAGTGTTGGTCTTGACGACCTGGGAGCGTGACCGCAGAGCCCAAGGGACAACTGCTTGAGGCCGGTCGCGCACGGCCTTTTTGTGGAAGGTTTTTAATGTGTTAGCTCCGTTCTTCAAAGGGCCTTACCGCCGGAGACGGAAATCCGTGAGGTAAGGTGAGGTGTGATATTTTGGGGGTCGACCTTTTCTAACCCCACCCCTCCTTGTGGGAAGGCAGCATCGCTGTCGATGCTGGTTGTCCGAGGGAAACACCTTACTGCTGTCACACCCTCTACAGTCAGCAGTACGACTTCGCCCTCAGACCTTGAGTTGCTGCTTTTAGTCTTACCGTTCTCCAATCGACCTGCCTGGCATGGTAGAACCTACAGGAACATATGTTCCAGCCAATATAGCTCGGTTGGGTCATCACGATAGGCAAGCCCGACCACCGCGTCAAGGTAGCAGCTTCGGTCGGGCAGTAGAACTAAGTGTATTTAAATCAATAAACATATCTACGTTCCGTAAAATTAACACAATAATATAGTTTGCACGAGTTGAAAAGCAGTTTTATCGTCGGAGCGTTCATCCGCAGGCCTCGAAGTACCCTTTGTGTTGGGAATATCGTTTCTCAAACCGATCTCTCACTTTGATGCAGTTTTCCTATCAAATGCCAGATAAACGACTTTTAATGGGGATCTAATGATTTAGTGCCTCAGCCCTAGCTCTTAATGCGACACCAACACCCGAAAAGCCAGACGAAGATACCACAAGCTCTGTGGATAAATGCACGTGAAACAAGCTTTTCGAAGCGATGGGAGAGCGAGTTTGAAGTATTTCACTAGTCTTGAATACGGGTCCTGGATAGACAACAGACATCACTGTTAAGACCTTCTAAAAGGCATAGCTAACCCTATCTATAAGTGTGAGAACGTTGAAGTAGGTCAGTTTGAATGCCATGAGTGGTTTCAGAAATGCTGGTTCAGAATTCGTATTCGGTGGTGGCATTCAACTTCCAACCAATCAGTGACTTGAAATCGTTTAGACAGGACAAGGTT